GAGTGGCATGGCTGAGGTTCCAAACATGCCACGTGAAAGGGCAATTGGCCCTGTTTTTTTTTTCCTTAATATTGCAATATGGCCCCCAACTATGAAAATTCTTTCAATCATGCCCCCCTAAAGCCTTGCAATTTAGTCCTTAAACTCTTTTATCATTTCTCTTACAATTCCTTCATACAAAATTAGCACAAAAGTTTAAGTCTGAAAATTAGGATGTTACACTAAATATCGTTAGTGGGCCTATAATATACCAAATCGAAGCTCTTTTTGAGCTCTACAATCATGGTAGGGCTTATCCCGTCAATCCAATTTTTTGGGCCAAAATTCACTTGTTTTCATCAGTTTTGGAGGAAAAAAATCAGAGAACTGTGACTGAAAACGGCCATAACTTTTTATCTAAATATCGTTAGTGGGCCTATAATATACCAAATCGAAGCTCTTTTTGAGCTCTACAATCATGACAGGTTATAGCCCACCAACCCAATTTCTCGGGCCAAAATTAACTTATTTTCATCAATTTCGGAGGTAAAAAATCGGAAAACTGTGACTTAAAATGGCCATAACTTTTTATCTAGAAATCGTTACTGGGCCTAAAATATACCAAATCGAAGCTCTTTTCGAGCTCTACAATCATGGTAGGGCATAGCCTGCCAACCAATTTTTCAGGCAAAAATTCACTTATTTTAACCACTTTCGGAGGAAAAAATATCGGAGAACTATGACTGAAAATGGCCATAAGTTTTGATCTAGAAATCTTTACTTGGCCTATCATATACCAAATCGAAACTCTTTTCGAGCTCTACAATCATGGCAGGGCGTAGCCCACCAACCCAATTTTTCGGGCCAAAATTCACTTATTTTCATCAGTTTCGGAGGAGAAAAATCGTAGAACAGTGACTGAAAACAACATAACTTTTTATCTGGAAACCATTACTGGGCCTATAATATACCAAATTGTAGCTCTTTTTGAGACAAAAGGAAAAAAATAGAAAATAAGAAACTTCCGAAGTTAAATCATAGTTAAATGATTATAACTTCCTATCAAATAATAAACACCAAAGTAAATATAGTAAACAAAAACCTTAGGAAAAAATTTGGTTAAGGGATGAAATGGTTCAAAGCAGAGTTAAAAAAAATAAAACACCTGCAACTAAGAAGTTAAAATATTGATTGTTGTTAGAAAAACATAAACGCCTTAAACGAATAATGTAAGGATAAATCTTCAATAATCCGGGCAACATCAATAATTAGTAAATCACTATTAACAATTACTCAATACATGGCAACAATTCTCGGGTTTTTTTTTTTTATTCTACCAACATGTATCAAAAGTAACTGAATTATGATTCAACATTATCATTGGCTACCAGCTGAATTATTGAAAGACTTACACTAAATAACAGAGGAACAAATTTTAATAGCTGTAATAGTGAAAAAAAAACCTTACAAAAAAATCAATTAAAGAATGAAATGGTTCAAAGTGGAATAAGGAAAATAAAATATTTGCAAGTAAAAAGTAAAAAGATTTGTTATTTTTCAAAAAACATAAACACCCTAAACGAAAATAATATAAGGATAAATCTTCAATAATCCGGACAACATCAATTCTTGCTAAATCACTTTTAACAATTACTCAATATATGGCAACAATAAAGAGGAAAAACATCATCACCACCAAGGACCAACATATTTTTAATAGACAATTAGAAATGAAGTGGAAGAAGTAAGAAATAAGTACCTTAGAACAATAACGAAAGTAGATAGAGTTGATGCAAAAGAAAGAAAAACACTTCAAAACAGAGATAACAAAAGGAACTCAGTAATGAAAATTGAAGAAAAGGAAGAAAACAGAAAAGATAAACGATAAGTATATGGAAATGAGGTGAAAAAGGTAAGAAATAAATACCTTAGAGGAATAATGAAAGTGGATATAGTTGATGCAGAAGAACTAAAAACATTTCAAAACAGAGATAATAGAACGGGGGAAAAAACCTCTCTAATGAAAATTGAAGAAAAGGAAGAAAACAGAGAAGATAGACGATAAGTATATGACAACGAAAGCAGAAGTAAAGCAAATGACTATAAGCATGAAAGAGAGAACAATATATTTATACGAAGAAAATAAACGTTTGAGTATATGGCGGTAGTAAATACTGCAAACAAAACTTAATACTACCGCTATTACGCTGCAAACAAAAGGTAATAATTTGTTAAAAACAGGTGTTACATTGCATGATAAGTACAGTGGAACAGAACGAATAACCTGCAGACAGTCAAAACAAAGTATCTCGTTAGAAAGAATTACCTTGCACTAAAAACAAATGTCTAAATATTCCCGACTAATATAACCTGTGGAAAAAAGGGTCAATAATTAGTAAAAATAAAAACTTAATTAAAAAAGGAAGAAAACAATTAAGAGATAACAATAACAAATAATACATATGGAAATAAAAATACTAATAAATCTGAAAATAAAAAAAAACAAATTTTAAAAAATTATAATAAAAAACGAAACCAAATGTATAAAAACACTAACAGATATGGAAAAAAATAACATAAAAAATTTCAGAAACACTAACAGATCTGGAAAAATGAAAAACACAAAAAAAGCTAAGGCAAATCTAAGGAAATTAAAATGGAAAACAAAACTACAAAACAAAACAAACATAAAAAATGAATCCCGGAAATCTTACAAAAAGGGAAAAAAAAGTGAAACAAACTTCACAAAAATAACCAAATGGGGTAACATCCCAAAAACGTCACTAACATATATTTAAAAACTTGGGAAAAAAAACCCGAATACAAAATAGAAACAAAAACTAAGCTAAATTTATAAAAACACTAACAGATCTGGAAAAACAAAAAAAAATTATGAAAAAAGGGGAAAAATGAAAAAAAAAAAACACTAAGAGATATGGAAAAACAAAAAACAGAGAAAAAACAAAATCAAATCTAAGAAAATATAAACGAAAAATAAAACTACAAAATCAAATGCAGATATCTAATCCCATAAACCTCAATAACAGATCTGGAAAAAAAATAGAAGTAAAAAAAAAGCTAAATCTATACAAACACTAACATATCTGAAAAAAGAAAGGAGGAAAAAATGAATAAACAAATAGATAAAAAAAAATTTCACGGAAGAAATAAAGGTAGAAACTTCACGAAAATAAATAACCAGAGGCATGCACAAATGCAAAACATATTTCCACGGAAGAAATGAAAGTAGAAACTTCACGAAAATAAATAACCAGAGGCATGCACAAATGAAAAACATAAGAAACCAAAACGAAAATACAGAAAAAATAGAGAGAAAACAAAGACGAAAAGCATATTAAGAATAAAAAGAGCTTAAAACTCTGAAGATCTGCAGAGAAAAATGAGGAAGAAAACTTCACGGAGAGGATGAGAGAGAGAAGAAAAGAAACCCAAAAAAAAGTGCAGGAAAAATGAAGCTAGAAGCTTCGAAGAATAGCAAAATGCTATTCTGAAATGAAATTACGAAAATATCCAAACAAAACAAAAACAAACAATCAAGGATAAAACGGTAAATACACAATTTCGGGACACATACGGAATTTTTCTAAATAAGAAAATTACGAAAATAACCAAACAAAACAGAAATAAGAACTGAGGCTAAAACAGTAAAAACACAAAATTAAGACACATCCAGAATTTCTTATAAAAAAGACCCGGCACTGTACTTAGTACAGTAAACCGAGTGCCTCATTTAGTAATAGGTATAATATATAATAATATGCTGCCATTGCATTTAATTGTTATTTATTGGTAGCGTTGAACATTTCCTTACTATTGGTTTTGGATTTTTATCTTTCTCACTTTCTTTAATTTAATTTTCTTTTTTGGTGGATCAGGTAAACTGGCTAAAAAATATGAAATAGAAAATAGAGAAGCTGCTTTAGATTTTGTTATTAGTCTGATCGAAACAGTACTTGTAGATAAATGGATGTCAAATTAAATCTTTAAAAAAAAAAGACATTATTTCTACATGCTTTATATAAGAATAAATAGTCTCCTCCTCCTTTTGTTTCGGTGAATTGTAAACATATGTCTACATATTAAAACTTTTCTCATACATTCGTTTATTGCACTAAGAAGTAATGTAACCATTTAAAAAAGAAAAGTGGAGGAATCAAGACTACCAACATTTGTATATCTTTTTTAGGCATACGTTATCAACGGAACCTCTAAACGTTCACAAGAATGAATAGACTATAATTTTAAAACAAGGAGCACGTCATTTCAACTCTACTGAATATATTAACATAAAAGTATGTAAGCGTGTGTGATCACAAAATTTAAATTGAATTTATGATCATAAATCCACCACAATTCTCTATTACCGCTAAGCCACCACATTCACTGGTAAGTAACCATTGGATTTTATCCTTAAGTTTCATATTTTGCTTACCTGACATGACTTGTCATTGATGTCTGCTTCCAACTGTCTTTTTTTCTTTTGTCTCAAATTGATTAAAAACAAAAGAGAGAAGAAAAACACAACTTGCCGAAAGTCAATCCAAAATAAAATGATAATCCTAAAGAAAAAACACGGTTTTCAATTTTGTCATTCTATCTTGAATTAATGGACCAAATAACATGCTCTACTATAATCTCAAGAGAATCAAACAAGAACATGCGTTTTGTGTTGTTGTGCTCAAGCAATAAGCTCTTTAACCAATATGTTAATTTCCTGTTGTTTATGTCCATCTTAAAAATATAATAAATACATAAGATTGTTACATTTTAGGACGCAATCGTAAATTTCAAAAAAAAATAATATAGCTTATAAGTATACCATCAATGAATCGAGAATTTAAAGGTAACAACATCTACTAAAAGCTTCACAATATACCCAACCAAAAGGTCATGTTTGTTTCACAAAAGATCTAAAGAAGAGAGAGAAAGAGATTAATATGATATGACTGTACAAACATAAAAGGAACAAATTGTATAGACTTGACAAGTGCTGTCTCTTACACGTTACAGTACAATCATCCATGTGAAGTACATTTTCCCTTAAGCCAATTATCTAGTTTTGATTTTCCTCTTCATTATTCAGTCTCACCATTTATTTATTAGTTCTTAGAACGGGATGATACAAGAGAACATGCTTGTAATGACTATGCAATTATGAGACAAATCAACAACATATTGTGGCTTCATTAGAAAAGGGCTTATCAAATTTCAGATGTCGTTGCCTGCAAACCACAAACCATATTTGCTGGGACAGCTATATCTATCATCTTCGGATATGACAGGTTCAAATCTGATACAAAAAAAATTGTGCAAGTTATCAGCAATTCATCATCCCAATAAAATGCATACTACTTAAAAGAATATGCATGTCTTAGCAGATAAAAAATAAAAAAATAAAAAGTTTTAGCATGCACTTACTTTCCATAATGCCCTTGAATGTTTCCTGCAAAAGAGGTTTAAACAATTTTAATGTTATTAAATTAAATCAAAAGTAGGATGTTTGGAACTCATCATAAGGAGCAGAAATAAATAAGAATAATTTTCCACCAAACGCCTAAACTCCTAAAATTTTGTAATCAATTTCTGTAGTATTCTCAAGAGGTTAACAAACTGGTTTCGCAAAATGACTTTTAAGAGAGACACTTAAATGGCTTTTTAAAATATGTAATTATTTGCAAAATAACTTCAGAGTTTTCACGCAGTGGCCACTTTTTAAAATGACCGACCAAGTGGGTCGCTCAGTGTAAAAACAAAAATAAGTTATTTTGTTAATTTCACATTTTAAGACTGTCACTTTAGAAAATTTTCCTCTGGGTTATTTTACATATATATTTGTCCCTTAAATTTGTATAGTTTTAGCAATTTTCTCTTGAATTTTTAATTTTGACAAGTTGTCCTTTCAACTTGTAGAACTATTGTAATATGCCCAATTTTAACAATGATTATGCCAAATTAGTGTCAAAAAATCACGTTCGACGGAAAATTTCAACATCCTAATTCAAATGTAGTATAAATCTTTCAATTCCTCAACTTTCAATTCCTTATATCTAAAAAAAATTGAATAAAGTTAATAAAATTGGACACATTACAACAATTTTATAAATTTAAAAGGATTGATTGTCAAAATTAAAAGTTTAGCGAATAATTTGCTAAACCACGACACATTCGGCAATTGTGCTAGAAACCCTTTCCGTCTAGAATCTTAAAACCCAACATTTTTCAGTTAAATCACTAATCTTTACAAAACATTAGCTATTTGGCTCTGCTGCATAGAAATTGTCAGTGTATCTTTTATAGCAAAATAAAGAAAACCGAGGTTCATTTTTTCACCAGCCTCAAGCCTGATACCAAATGGATTTCATGAAGTGGAATTTTGTAGATGAAAGACATGAACAACATTGAGTGATAGGTTACCTCATCCTTCGTTAAACGAGAGTTGTACAGCAACTCCTCCCCCACAGTGCTAACCTGAAATTAGTAGCTTTGTTACATAAGCAGATACATTTTTTTTAATAAGAAAAGTGTTGGCCAATTGACAAAAGGTTAAAGTGTTTGCGTACAGTGAATCCTTTGTAGTCATGAGCCGGATAGACTAAAGTTTCCTTCGGTAACGTAAAAATCTGGTGACGAACGTAGGCAAGTGGTTATTCAAGAGACATTCAGAGTTCAAAGATTCATTCAAATGGTTTAGATTAAGAATTCATAACATTTCTTAGCAATAATTGTGAATCTAATATTCTTGCCTGTGAATGCACTGATTTATAGAGCTGCTGTGAACTTCCACCCTGCAAAAAACTTAATGGCATCAAACCTTACAAGTAGTGATCATTTTTTCTTTTGATAATTTCATCAATCATAATTCCAAACCAATTCCACAAAACCTCACAGAATGAAATGGGAAAATGCCTTAATGGAAGAATAAAGGGGGAGCAGAAATATTCTTAAAATAAGGAGAAAGGAAGAAAAATGGGAAAGACTTGGATAATGTGAACCGCAACATCAAAATCACTCGAGTCTTGATGCCTTGAGAATTCAAAAAAATTTCGCGTTACTGGAAAATATCGAAGCAGAATATTGTCACCAAGTCTAAATCTTCGCACCTGAAAGTCTGTCCTTCCACATCCGCGTATCAATAAGGCATCTCCAGTGAATGCCATCCTAGGCTGAGGCTGATCAGGTCCATCTCCCGTAACATAGGTAACGCAACCAAATGTATGACCAGGAGTAGCGCGAACCTGCATCACGAAAACTTGTTTTCTTTGTAATATAGCTATTAACACAAGATGATAGATTCACTTTTCTGTGAGTACTAATTTTTAACAATTCCAAATGCAAATAGCACCCGAATTAGGAACCTCAAAAAGAATTTTGTTTTGAAATGAAATCTCATGTTCAGCTGAAAATGCTTGCCAAGAACTATTTCATCTGCTAACTCTCATAAAAGCCACTTTCCAATATATATTCTTGTGCATACAGGGTAATTTGGGAGAAAACAAATGTTTCAACTACGCAGCAAAGTTACTTTGGCATCTAGTTACATTAAATTTTAGGGATCGCTTTTGGCCATGTGATTTTTTTAACAATAAAAACATTGGAAAGTACTGTATATAGTCTATGAAAAGTTTTTTTTTTTTTTTTTTTTTTCTTTTCCCTTTCAGAAATTTCTTCAAACTGAGGCTGAATTCCATCAATAACATCTTAAATTGACCACACAAGTGTTCTGTCCAATGAAAACTAAAATTGTTCTGCTCTTAATAAATGAACAGAGCTCAGAGCATACTTCTTTTCAAATATTCAACTTCATCAATAGATTGTATCAATTGTAAGAGTCTTGCGTCCCTACCTCAAGGAAAAGATTCCCAAAATGTATCTTATCACCCGGTTCGATCAGAAGATCAGCTTTCGAACCACTCGCTTTTGAAATAACAGATTTTACACCTGGAACCTTACCCTGCAAGAAACAGTTGCATTTAACAAACAATCAGAGTTAAAAGGTGCAGAAAACTGTGAAGGTGCATAATATCAAAAGACCCTTCAACCAAAATGAGTGCATCCCAAAACCGCGAAACAACAACAACAACAAATACAAGCCTTAATCCCAAATTAATTAGGGTCGGCTATATAGATTTCTCGTTTTCAGTCTGCTCTATTAAACACGAGACCTTCCTGAAGCTCTAGATACAATCGGGCAAAATAAATAGAGGTGTGACAAACCTTGATTAACCCTGTCCCAGTTACATGATCAGCATGAACATGGGTGTTCATTGCATAAATAAGCTTTAGCTCAAGTTCTTGAACAAGAGAAAGATCCCTATCAACAGTTTTGTCCACTGGATCAATCAACTGAAAGAAAGAAAGATAAAAACTGTATGAGCACATAGTTAAAACAAACGAAACCTAGAAAACTTTCATGAGGAATTTTCAATTCTCTCCAGTGAAACTAATTTTCACTGCATCTAAAGTTTTCTTGCTGCATCAAACATCAGATAGGTGATCGAAATAACTTGGGCCGAATTGGATTGGATTTCCATATTATAGAAGATGTCAAAAGATCATTGTTTTCAATAGTAACATGACTAGCAAAGGAAGGAATCAATTCACACAAATATTTAACAGTAAATTTGCAAATATTATGCCATGAACTGCTTCGATCATTTCACTAGTTTGAATTATAACTTAAATTTTTGTTATAGTATTTTCTCTCACAAAAATTCAATTCAACTTTTTTCCGTAATAGTATTTTTTCTCGAATTCACATTTTAACTCAAATTCTTAACTCGGAGAGTTACATGACCGACCAATACTGAATTTTTTCATCAAACGATGAAAACTAATAAAATCTACAGCAAAAACTTATAAGAGTGACAAATTGAATTTTCCATTTTTTTCAATAACAAAAATGAAATCCTGACGACAAATTAGTTCGAAAGGAAGCTATAAACTACGTCGAATTTTGGCCTTTGCGTCAAAACCAAATGAGAAAAAGTAAGAGAGAGACCAGAGCTGGACGATCAGGGTGAGAGACGTCTGCGAGAAGGTAAGTGTAGGTGGAGGACTCCTTCTCGAAAAGCTGCCGGAACAAGATCTTCTTCGGCGACGAGTACGACGACGTTTCGGACGACCCCATTTCGAATTTGCAGTGACACCACCACTTTTGCAGCTCCTTTCTGTTTTGGTTTTGTTCAAGTCAATCGTAGAGAGATAATCCCAACTTTCTCAGCATTACTTTCTATTCATCATTTATTTATTTATTTATTTTTAATTATTATTTTAGTTTCTTCCTTCATCGAGGATTCAGGGAGCATTGCCAGCTCCGTCATTCGCTGTTGGTGAGTCACACTGATTTTGTTTCCTAATGAACCTTCTTTCTCTCCATACTGATAAAACCATGGTATATTTTTTAATCGATTATTCCAAAGCTTTTAATAGTTTATTAATTATTAGTCTGATGATGATGATGATGATGATGATGATGAAATCAAAGCAGGTTTTTTTTTTTTTTCCCTCTGATTTTATTTTGGTGGAATCCACGTTTAGGTTCTATAAATTTTTAGCCCGCGTTCGATCAAATTACAAATATCTCCTTGGACTTTATCACAAGTGTCAAATTGTCCTTTCATTTTCTATGGGAACAATATGGCAACGACTGTCCTTATTAACAATTGACAGAATCTGTTGTTTTAGCCATATGCTTAAGAATTTAACGGTCTGATTAGCGTTTGTCGACGTAAGAATTTATAGTACTTAGACATAAAAAATTACTACAATCACATATAAAGCCTTTGAAAATCGTAATCCAATAATTAAAAAACAATACTAAAACAAAAAAAGGGTTACTATAGAAATTCTCATTTTTAAATGGGCCAATGACACCTGAAATTGAGAAAAGAAACAATATTAATTAGACAAAAGAAAATTATTGACGTTACTTTTAGAGTGTATAAATCGAGATTTTAACCGTCTACTCTTAATTATTATCCTTTTAATTAATATAATTAGAGAAAATTACACTAAACATCATATTTTCAAATTTAATAAAAATAAATTATTTTTAGCGTATTTTTTTAACTTGTTAAGTTAATAGCATTTTTGAAATTTTAAATGGTTTTAAAAAAAACATGATTTTCCAAATTTACCCCTTTTAGTGTTTTCCTTTTCTTTTTCCTTTTGTTCTTTACGTTCTCTCTCCAGCGTTCAATCATCTCCTCCGTTTTTCTCTCTCTCCTCTCTCTTACTTCTTTTGATTCTCCTCTCTCTCTTTCTTTCTATCGTTGATTCTCTTCTCTCTCTGTTTCCGTCGCCGGTGACGGTGAAGACGACACAGTCGGAACCGGAGAAGAAGACTTGTCTGGATTCCGGAATCGGAGATCACGCAACGCTTTTGGAAGCCGGAAATCATGATTGAGATCTCCAGATCGGAGATCGTGATCCCTGATCGTCGTTGAGCAGTTCTCGAGATCATTTTCGTGGCTCCGGACGATCTCTCGGTCACGGCCTCTGGACATCCCTCTGTCATGGCCTTGTGACGGCGTTGGCGACGTGAAAGAGGAAGAGAGAGAGGAGGAGAGAGAATAGGAGAGACTGTGAGGGTTAATTTTGGAATCTCAAACATTATAAAAATGATTTTCTGATATTATGATGCTATGTTCTAACCGTTTGGAAAAAAAATTATGCTATTTTTTTTCAGTCTCCTTATTAAAACTGTTATTTCTCACACTCTCCTATAACCATTTGATTAAAAAAAAAATTTAATCAAGAATAAAAAGTAAAGAATTAAATTCATATCTTTTAATATTTTATTCCTCTAAACTCGGTTTTCCTCACACTGTGATGAAGTTTGATCGAGATCTCTAAGGGTTCGTTTGGTATAGGGATTGAAATCAGGGTAATTTGAGTCATTTGATTTAGATCCATGATTCATGATTTGAATCATGATTCAGAGTGATCATAACCTTCGTTTGGATGTGTATATGCATGATTCTGATTCTAACCTGAAATGTGATTCGAATCAGTGTTTAGTTGTCTTATTTTCTGAATTTGAAGCATGACCAAAATAAATATAATTTAAGAAATTATATAATAAATATAAATCGTTACGTGTAATTTAAAAAAATATATAATTCATCGTATAATTAAAAAAATAAAGTATTAGAAAAAAATTATGCAAATAATTATAACTCAAAATTATAACAAGCTAAGTGAGAAATATATGAAAAAAATGTGAATTAAAAATAAAAGCCAAACATAACTTGTCTCCCACGAGCAACAATTTATAACAAGCCAATTAGTAGAAAAAAATTCGCCACATCAAATACGAGAACAATTATATAACAAGCCAATGAGAAAAATTCTCACCCGCATGTCAAATCACCATGTCAAATCACCTTTTTTTACTGTTCATGGGGTTTCAAACGGGTGAATCAGGGGGGGCCTGATTTTGAAATCAGGCCCCAAAATGATCCCAATCACTTTTCTGATCCCATTTTTTACTGTTCATTTTTGTCTTTCCAAACACTGATTTGACCTTAATCAGGGAATTTGAATCCCTCAATCCTCCAACCAAACATGCACTAAGTTTAATTAAATTCATTATGAACATATTTTATTATTATCATTTGATATTATTAAGAGTGGCAACTCAGTGTCACATGTTATGTTCGTGTCGTATTTTGATCGTTTTTTTTAAATTTACAATCAACCTAAATACGACCCGTGACACAAAATTTTTTAAAAATCGCAACACGAACACGACACGACCATTTTACCAGTTGACACGACACGAAAATGACCCGTGACACGAAATTGACCTGTGAACCTGAAATTGACGCGAAAATTATATACTTTTCATTAGTTTTTTATGCATTATAAATAATTTAAAATTTATAACACACTAAAATACACTAACATCCATCTAAAATTAAGCAAATAATAGTATAAGATTTTAACTATAATTATCGTGATATCACAAGTTCATAATTAAATCTAACATATGCCATGAAAAATATATATAGTTTTTAGTTTTTTACGAGTTTCGTGTCGTGTTCAGGTTAGGCGGGTCTAACCCAAAATTGACCAGTATTTTTTGTATCAATTTCAGGTCAACCCAATTCTGACCCAAACTTCTTTTTTTATCACAACTTGTGAAATTCGTATCATTTTCTAATCGTGTTGTCATGTCGTGATTCATATTATCAACCCTAGATATTATCCTCTTGTATATAATACTTACATATACAATATCAAGGTCACAAAATAATCACTAAATTTTTAATGATATTCATGCTCTGCACATAAAAATAATAAAAAATCACTTTATTTATTAGTAATAAAATATTTAAAATACATCACATGTTTTAAGGACATCATTCCTAACGAAGACATAGTTTCTTAAATTAAAAAAATAAATAAATAAATGTTAGACAATCTGTTCTTTTACACGGTTACATTTTTTTTTTTTAGTTCATCTTGTACCAATTTTAAAATCAAAAAGCATTCTGACACACTTTAATTTAGTGCTGGAATTTTGGGCCAGCGAGCCTGCCCGAAGTCCAAATTTTTCGGGCTCGGCAAGGCCATAAGGCCGCCCTTTCAAGCAAGTTTTTGGATTCAGGCTCGAGCTGCGGCTGCCCGAGAAAATTTAGAATCTCTGAAGCCCGCCGTCAACCGCCGATTTTTTTTTTTTTTCCCTCCAGCCCAAATTGCCCAAAGCCCGATCAACGGCTAGTTTTTTAACCATTGGCACCCGACCCGAACCGATGCCCGAAAGCCCAACCACCAACGGTTTTTTTTTACAGGTGCCCGATTTCGGCCCGAACCCGACCCGCCAATGACAAAAAATAGCCGTTTGATCTAAATTTGGGGAAATAAAACAAATTTTTACCCAAAATTTTCCCTATAAATACCCCACCATCCCTCAAATATTTTCCTCACCCAAACTCTTTCAATCTCTTTCAATTTCTCTCAATCTCTCCCAATCTCTCAAATCTCTCTCTCGCACAATTTTTTCAAAAACTTGTGATTTTAATCTTAATTATAGTTCTTATATAATTCTTACAATAAATATCTTAATAATTATTTATATACAATTACAATTAATAAATAATATTATATATATTCTAAAAATAAATATCTCTCAATCTCTCCGAATTTCTCGGGCGGACGGGCTCAGATAACGAGTACAAATTCAATTTTTTCGGTCAATTGTGGGCGGCCCGTTTAAAGTTCCAGCACTACACTTTATGCATACACAAAGCTTCTTTAACTTATCCTTAACTAAATCTCACCCCTATATTTCTAATCCAACGGTTAAAGCTACAATCGGATGAGAAAGACATTATTAGGGTGCCAGACAAGAGACTTACGTTCTAATTATATATTAAAAGTATATATTATAACACATTTTATTTAATGCATTTGATTTGAAAATATCATATAAAAGCTTTAACGCACTATTCTTCAAGTACTTGTGACAACCACCTGCATATATTTGACAAAACAATTGTATCATAAAAGGACTAAACACAATAAGTTCATGATTAACTTTTATTATTCGAGAAATCATATTTCAAAATTATGCTGGTCAACAATATTGTTTCTACATTGGATAATCCAACGGAATATGATGGTCAAGTATTGCTTAAACTTGCTTATGATTCACACTTTCTAGAAAAGCCCCATAAGGCTTTTGGAGAGGATGGGTGAAGATTTTTTAGAATATGGCTCAAATTTTACCACTTAAGCTAAAACTTGTTTTGACAATACATTAATTAAGGAAATGCTAGAAGCAACAAATTAGGACATATCACGTAAAAATGATTAACCCTAAATACATCTATAAGAACAAATACCAATTTTATTTTTTATAGGCACAATAAACCTTCCTTGGCGATGTGAGTGCACAAGAAAAATGTCGCCTTCATTGAGTTAAAAACATTACATTCTCGTTGCAACATGTAAAATGAATAAATTTTTATTTTCTTGTTTTAACAGATATATTTATCACGGACAAGAGAACAAAAATAACATTTAGGTACAAGAGAATAAATTTTTTATTTTATTGATTTATTAACAAGTACATGAGTAATAAAATATTAATGTTTCCCTCTGATTATACGACAGACATCACACCAATATATAATTAGCAGCTTTTTCAGATCACTCCAAGTATTTTGAGATTTTGATGTGTAGTCCATTAGGAAATTCTAACCAAGGCCTTCGGATGATGTCTCCTCCTTTAGCAAATTCCCATCTAACCATTGCAAGTTTGCAAACAGCAAGAATAGACGTTATCAATATCTAAGTTAAAAATATTTGGCACACCACAATTTGTTTATAAAATTTGGTTGTGATACTGTAGCTTGCGAAAGTGATATTGTTATTAGTTTTCATTTAGAGGTCAAAATATAATAAATAGTTTATATATATAGATATATATACTATTTGGCACGTATACACACTTACGCTGTCTTTTCTTCATTTTGGAATGGTATATAGACACAAATACACATGTGTGTACGTATATAAAATATATATTTGAAGGTGACTATTAAAGGAAACGTAACCATTAAAAACTCATTTATATATTTACATCTACAATGTAGTTTTAATAGTTATTTTAATATTTATTTATTAATGTGTTTTATTTTTTTATCCATAAGATATTAATTCGACGATTATAATAAATTAAATAATTGACCAAAAAATTATGACAATTAATGAAACTGGATTATTATAAAACTAAATGTTCACATTTACTAAATAATCACGATGAGAATTATGTATCTATTGAGAGTTAGTTTATAGATATAATATATTTATAATTTTAGTTACCTGTAGTTCAAAACCAAGTAATGAAGAAATATTGCCATTTGCAGCTTTGCCAGGTCAGCTCCCAAACAGAGTCTTGGATTCAAGCCAAAGCCCATGAAAGTCTTGGAACTTTTAGTCATTTCCTTTCCCTATTTGTTTTTTTATCAAAAAAAAAAAAGAAAAAGACAAATGGAGTGGAAAACAAAAATAAATATCTAGTAGAAATAATAATAAACAAGAGCGTACAACTACCTATACAAATTAGGGAGAAAAGGAAACACTTTAGGTCCGTTTAGTAATGTTTTTAAAATAGTTTTATTTTCAATGTAAAAATAAAAATGATATTATTTTGAAAATTATTCTAGAACTGATTCTAAAATTATGTTTGGTGGTCTTTCAAGAGATTAGTTTGAGTATGATAAAAAAATAAAATCGTGTTTGGTTACATTTATGTTTATTTTGAATACATGTAATTAATAATCGTAAATTAATATATTAAGTAATTAATAATTGATAATTATTTATCAAATAAAAATTAATATATTAATAATATAATAATAATGAATAAATTATTATTAATGAGTACATTAGTAATTAAACTATATATATAATAAATTAATATGCTAAATAATTAAAATTAGTAATTAGTAATTAATTATAAGTAATTACTATGTTAGTAATATACTCATATTTATTAAATTATAAGTAATTAATTAGTGTATTAAGAAAAATAATTGGTATATACACAATTTATTTATATTCCGTTTAGTACTTAAATTATTACTTTTAGTTACATAATTAAATAATTAAGTATTTAATTACTAATGTTTATTTAATAATCTATTATTTAATATATCACATGATCAATTTTTGGTAATTAATCTTTTTATAATGATTAATTACTATTTATTATTTAATATATCACAGAAAATTTTTGGTTTGTCAAAGTCTTATAGAACCTATTCTGTGCACGCCCCCCTAAAAGCCCTTGTTAAGCTTCCAGCAGAGGATTTTTTTTCTTTTTTGTTTTTAAATTTTTTTAAAAGCTATTCCGTATGTTTTTTTATTTTTTATTTTTTATTTTTCTATTCATTTCCTTAGTTATTAAATATATCTATTTAAAAATTATTAATTAATATATAATACAATTAGTAATTAATAATTATTTATTTAATATAACTTTGTTGATAAGTACTAGAAAATGAAAAAAAAGGAAAAATAACTTTTAATCATTTTCTATTTTTTTCACAAAAATCATTCTCATTGGTTTTTGTTTTCGTTTCTGTTTTCAAAACTTTTATTAAACAAACGCGATTTTAATTTAGATTAATAACAAAAATTCTCCTAGAATTACGACCCATGTAACGCTTTACCCATGATCTTCATAACGTAACATATGCTCTCCCATAGTATAAATCGTTAACAAGAAATGTCTCATGTTAAAGTTTTTAACAGAAAATTAATTACTCATATGATATAATACAGGGGTATTTTGTAATACTATCCATTCTTAATATTAAATATTAAATCTTAAAAAATCTTAAAGCTTAAGAAAAAACTTTTTTTTCTAATTCTTATTTACATGTAATATTTACTATGTATATGTCAGCATTTTTTTGTGCTGTTGATGTTTTGAAAAATGTTATTAAGAATATACCATGAATTAAGTTAAAAAATATATTGTGAATTTAAAAACTGTTAGTTTAAATTTTTTTGGAAAATTTTCAATTAATTAATTGATAAGAATTGGAAGATTAAAAGTTTTGTTTTATTTATTATCATATTAAATGAAAATTAGAATATGTTTTAAAAACTATAAATTGAAAAGTAATAGGTAGAAGCAGTAATTTTGCACCAAAATCTTTAAGAACAATTAATATTTGTGTGTCATATGGCACCTCTATCAAAATCCCTAAGGGAAAGGGTATTTTTATTAACAATTCATATATATTTCAGGAGAATGAATGTTATGTTTTGAAGATCGAAAGACAAAGTGTTACAAGAATTATAATTTAGTAAGAATTTTTATAATTAATATTTTAATTTTGATCAATTATGATTTCTATTTAAATCCTGTCTCAAAAGGTTTATTAATTAAAGAGTACAAAATGTATATATTTCATTAGCCAAGTAAAAATTTTGATTGTTTTTCGATTAAAAAAAACCCAAAAACATAGACATAAACACACAAAAAATTGACTATAAAACGGATGAAAGAAACGTAACACAATGAGGACATGTGAGGGTTCTAAAAAGATAATATAAAAAAAAGGTTTGAAAAAATCTAAAAAGAAAAAAAACATATCTAAAATAAAAATCAAAATGTGTCAATAGTCCTAATATTTTTCTTCCTTTTTAAAAGGGATCTCTTTGTTTTTTTTTTTTTTTATAACTATTTCATCCCTCGTAAAACCCTAACCTACTATACTTTACTCATGCTACATTTTTTTCTAAACATAACTAATTTATTATCAAAAGTTATTTGTATAAATAACCTTTATTATCAAAAGTTATTTGTATCAATAACCCTTTTTCTTATTGAGTTTCTAAATAATTTTTTTATAAATAACCCTTTTTCTTATTGAGTTTATCATTCTTTTTATTTATTATTTACAATTTAATAAATGCAAATAACATTAAGACATACTATTCACCCTGGTCGTCCAATACACACCGTTTGGTCCCACTTTCCCCTTTCCCCACTTTTTTTTTTTCTATTTAAACTTTTTTGCCTTTTTTTTTTAATTATTTCCGCTGTCTTTTTTTCCCTTTCTTTCTTTTTGGTCCCATTTCTACCATAATCTCGTACATCAATATTTTCCTAACCTTTCCTTTTTGTTCCTCTTTTTTTTTTTTTTTTTGTAAACTTTATCACTCTCTCATAAATTTTTTAAACCTAGAATATCAACTTTCTCGTCAAAATAATCTCATCGCTTATGATTATTTTTTTTATTTTGTTATCTTATAATTTAGAATGTTTCAATATGTATTTAATCATATAAAACTTTTACTTAAATTACTATTTATATACTCTTTTTTAATTGATCAGTAAACTTTTTCTTTCCCTACATATTGTTGTTCATATTCTATGTAATAAACATTTCAATTGCATATCTATATATATGTGGATCCCACATACTTAAAAGTCTTGAAAAAGAGAAAAAAATCGTACCCCCCATCGCCATGGATTAAACGTGAGAGGATCGTCATACTTGTCAGGATCTAAATGAAGAACTGTTGTATTGATCATGACCATCCAACCAGCCGGAATTGTATATCCTGTAAAAGTTGCAATTTCTTTAACTTTCAAGGACTATTTCAGCAAAGTTTTCCCAGCTGAGTAGGATGGTATATTACTGAATCGTTCTTGATATTTTACTGAAATGTACAAATTTACCTCGTATTTTAAGAAAATGACAAAAAGAATCTACGTGTACTTATACAATAATATTATTCAAAAAAATGTGCCCTAATTTTTTTTCCCAAGAGATGTTTAGCCACATTAAATATCATATATATCACCGTGTCATTAATTTTTGTATATGGTTATTTATTTTTCTTCAATTTAAATGTCAATGCCGGGTTATTAATAGTCATTTTATGCACACAGAAAATTTTTGGTACTTAAATTATTTATATTCCGTTTAGTACTTAAATTATTACTTTTAGTTACATAATTAAATAATTAATTATTTAATTACTAATGTTTATTTAATAATCTATTATTTAATATATCACATGATCAATTTTTGGTAATTAATCTTTTTATAATGATTAATTACTATTTATTATTTAATATATCACAGAAAATTTTTGGTTTGTCAAAGTCTTATAGAACCTATTCTGTGCACGCCCCCCTAAAAGCCCTTGTTAAGCTTCCAGCAGAGGATTTTTTTTCTTTTTTGTTTTTAAATTTTTTTAAAAGCTATTCCGTATGTTTTTTTATTTTTTATTTTTTATTTTTCTATTCATTTCCTCTCTTGTATCAGTTTTTTCAGTTTAATTTAAGGACATCGGCGTGTAGATTGAGCAATTTAATATTATTAAACAAAACTTACTCATTGGTACTATATATTTTATAAACGTGAAATTACATTATAATATTCTGAAAATAGGAAGTTTTTTCTTGGAATGGAAAATAGGACGTCTCCGTAAGTTTTGTGGCAGCCATGTGATTGATTTTAAGAAGGACAAAGTACCTTTCATTCAGCAAAAAGGGGAAAAAAATATAGTACCTTTGATTTGAACATCTTTGACAACTTTTCTGAAAATTCCTGGCAGAATATTTCCAAGCCTAATTGTTTCGTTGATAACCTGAAAAATATAAACACGTATTTATCGGTTAAAAAGGAAAAAAGAATATTATCTAAACGACAACAAAAATCCAAAGACTATAAATATAAACGAGTAAAGTTAATTTCTAACTATGTCCACTAAAAACATAATTATCGAAAAGCACAATTTAACTCACCATATGTGTAAAAGTCATAGATTTATACTCGTCCCATGTAATTTCAGACTTTTCAAAACCACGACTTTCAATAATTGCTTCGTGCTCTTTCTGCATGAAGTAAAAGATCAATAATAATATGAATATTAATTTTTTGTCAAGAAAACATCATATGTATAATACGACAATGCCAGTATTGGCAACCGAAATCTTGTATGTAATATTTGATGTGTAAAGTGAATTGTAATCTTATCCTTAGTAAATATTACTTTCTATAAATATATTTATTTATTTATATTGATGAAATAACTAAATGTAAAACGGTAAATCATCTTACATAAATTATTTGTACACAAGAGTTAGGTTACGTCATTTATGTCATGAGTGATTTGAAATAACAGAAATTATAAAAAATCTCATGTTGACGAATTTTTACCGTCAATAATAGATTTGTATTATTATCACATTGATCCGATCATTATCACTAAAAGTTTTTTTTTTTTTTTTTTAATTTTGGCAACAGAAAAAAAAAAAGATAATTAACAAACGCAAACCTTCAATTCGGCTACCACTTCAGGGTGTTGAGAAAGAAACTTCACTAACATTGTCATGGCTAAACGAGAGGTCTCGTAAGTACCAAAGAGAATTCCAAAAATAATGTCTCTAGCAAGTGCTTCGCTCATGATATTATCTTCTTTCCTCATTTCCTCAAGTAAACAATACAAAAAATCGCCATGTTTCATCTTCGATGCCTTCCTCTCTTCAAAGATATCTTTGATCGCTTTTCTTATATTGTCTCTTGCCTGATTTCAACCTCAAAAATCAAATATTAGTCGTTCTAAATCAATTAATTAAAAGTCTTCTTAATTGTTTTACTTATTTTATTGTATATCCTATTCAAAATACCTTGAAACCCTCGTCGTTTTTAATCGAAATGCAAAAGTACATAGCTTGTGTTTTAAAAATTACAGAGACGTCTTTCCCTTGTATCTTTTCTAATCAAATAAAATTCATCCATATAATTTTTTAATTATACAAAATTCACTTAGCCAAAATTAACTATGCAGAAAGACACAATTACCCTTGACAAATTAGGATAAATGATGGATTTTGAAAGAGAAGTCCCCAATAAAACAATTTTGATCTTCAATTTTTCCAGAATTGAAAATAATCAATTTTTTATTTTTTTTTTAAAATGAAAATTCACATATATATGGACTTGTTTTGAATAGGTACCCTTCAAATGTTTTATGAAAGCATGTTTTAATAATAACTGATAATGTAATTTGATAAGAATTCAATCTTACTAATTGTCGTAAAAGTTTTTGTCAAATTACCCAATTTATTAAAAGTTGTTGTCAGTTACTTACTTGCAAACAAGCATGGTATCCAGTCCCTGGTATATTCAATGGAATCGATACAATACCACGGACGAATGCATTGTAATTTTCTTTCAGATTCCTCGCATCCTTCGACTCATCGTAACTAATGACCCGCTTAGCAATATATTCAAGTATCATCTGCCAATTACGAATATGGTCAATTGCTTATTTTCTCATAGTCTAAAAAGATAAATACGGTTCTACCAAAAAAAAAAAAAAGATAAATACTAGCTGAAGGGATTTGCTGACGTGAGAGCTTAAACTTTGTTGATGACAGGGCATGAACTAAAATAAATAAAATTTTGAATGTATAAAAAACTTGACAAATTGTGAACTCTTTATTATCATGTGCTCTCTTAGCGCGCGCGTGTGTATATATACATATATACATATATATATATCTTGACATATGCCTTTTATGAATCTTAATTTTTACATTTTATTTTTTATTAATATCCTTTTTATAATCAAATAATTATACTAACAAAAACGTATTTATTAATAAGAGTAAATGGATAAAAATGCGCAAGTTTAACAATTTTCTCTATTAAAATAGATATGTAATAACCATGAATTAGTAGTTCTTAATTTATTCAATATACTGGATTAGGGAACTTGAATATGTTTATGTTTAAATTAATAGTTCTACCGAGATCTAGGTTTTGTTTGATAGGAGGAAAAAGTTGTGAGAATAAATTGAATTAGAGAACTCGAATCTTTTGCAGAATCCCAATTTTAATTTTACCGAAGAAATTGAAGAAAGAAATCATAAAAACATTATAAAAGAAAGACCGTATTTTTCTCATCTAAATTGTATACCCCTTCTATTTTTTATTTTATCTCTCTCACCAAACATAACCTAAATTAATCAATTGAAAAAACATACTTACAGTTGAGGTTGCTTCTGTGACATCCACAACATCGTGGCTAGCCCATGATTGTACATGTCTCCGAGTGGTGGACTCATTTATTTCACGCAACAATGTTCTCTTCAAATTTTCAGACCCAATGAGTGGCAAAACCAAGTTTTTCATGTACTTGAAAAGCGCTCCTGGGGTTGTAATCTTATAGTGTCTGGATCAAAAAGTGGAATAAAATTTTGAGTGAATGCAGAGGCGAAAATACTCCTCTTCTTGATGAAACAGCCGGTAAGCAATTTCTGAATCAGCTATCACAACCATCTTTTGGCCAAATAAATTGGTCCTAAATATTGGTCCATATCTGCATGAAATAATACAAACATTTTTAGTGGTTGTAGGATTAGTCTAGTGATAATTATATACCCGACTCCACTAAAAAAAAACGTAGAGTTCAAATCCCTCTCATTCTCAGTTAAAAAAGAAAAAAAAAATTGACTTTCTTTTTTTTATGAGACAATGATACCTTTATAGCAAGTAATAGTAATAATAAATAAAGAAATCAATGTGTTTAGTATTGGTAGTCAATTCTAAATTGAGAATTCCCTATCCAAAACAAAAGAGAGAGAATTTTATTTACTGCTAAAGTCTAAGGGTGCATTTGGTTACAGTGGGGGAATGGTAATGAGAATGAGAATGGTAATGGGAATGAAATGGAAAGAAAAGTTGATTCATTTGTTTGGTTGTAATTTTAAGAATTCTCTAAAATGAAACTTGTAATTTTAAAATTCTTAATATAATTATAATATTATAATATGTAAAATGTAATATAATATAATAAAATTATTATTATATAATATATAATATAATTATGATATATAATATAATAATATTATTAAATTTATTAATATAATTGTAATATTATAAAATATAACTACTATATAATATATTTTAATTATATTATAATATTGAAGGGTAATTATGGAAAAAAAAAACTTAAAATGGTCATTCCTCCTATATGAGGAAGGAATGATGATTCACCAAAAATGGGTGAATGATCATTCATTTATTTTAAATCCAACCAAACATCAAACTACAATTTCATTTCATTCTATTTCATTCCTTTCCACCCAACCAAACACACTCTAAGGGTGATTCCACACCTATTTTACTACATTAAGGTCATAAATTCCTAACTACAAGTTAAAAATAAATAAATAAATAAATAATTGGCTAAATAGATACGGTAAATACCTCGCAAGTCTCTTTTGGACAAATGGGGGAACACGGATTGCCTCTCTATTTAAGATAAACTCAATGGTCTCCCCAACAAAGGGGAAACCCATAGAGCCAGGAGGTAACTTCCCATTGGCTGCACTTTGGGTTCTGCCAAGCATAAATCCAATGGCTCAACCTTATAACAAGCAAAGCTATGAGGCAAAGTACTATCAACCACATCTTAGGCTTCGAAATTATCCAAAACTTAGAAGGAAATGTATAGAAGAACATTTTCTAAATGAGACTTTATATAAAAGAGCCTTGACACGTACGTATTACGCATTGAACTTTTTTTTTTTTTTTTTTTTTTTTTTCAATGATTTCTAAACTATAATAATTTCAAAATGTGCCTTTGTATGAGGTGGTTTCCTTGACGCACATGAACTGAGATACTCTGACCCTCTTCATATCCCTTTACTTGCGCCTAATAAACCGTCACATCAATTAATTTTGTGCAAATTTGCAAGGAAAATAGTTGTTGAAACATTTTGATTCTTTTAATATATAATAATACACTATAATATTAATTATATTGTAATTATATCTTATAATATAATATATTATTAAATAACGTAATTGTAATATTGTAATTAATAATATGATAATTAAACTAATAAATATATTTTTATTATTTTGTTTTTTAATTTTTTATACATACATAATACATAATATATTATATGATATTATATTATACTATATTATATATGCGTATTATAATTATTGGTATAATTAGAATATTGATTAATTATAGTTTAATAATTATAATTATAATAATATAATAAATATAATATAATATAGTGGTAATATTGAAATTAACAAAATTGTGATTATACTAATAAGGACTTTGGCTATAGTGCCGCAGTTAAGAAATGAATGGGCCGGTCCCCCATTAAATTTCAACGCTTAATTTTTTAAGTTTTGTTTTTGTTTTGTTTTTAATTTCAACTATTCATATCTTACGGTTGTGGTGTGATGAGGGCATGGAGGTGCATTCATTCTTTTGGTGAATGGCTATCGGTTGGCTGAGGGGTACCAAAAAAGAATTTAATAAATAATTGTGGAGGTTTTCGGAAGGTAAATCAGGGCCCCACATTTAAAATATTATTACAGGGTAAACCATGCACTATTTCAATGTCCATGCCCTCCTGTTTAGTAAACGTACACGTTTAATTTAATTTAATTTATTTTATTTTATTTTATATTTTGTGCTAGACGGTTGGGGGTTGGGGGTTAGAGTTTGGAGTTAGGAATTAGGGTTTACGTAGGGTAGGATACGGATAATGTCTTTACAAAAATAGAAAAATAATGAGTGCGTTTGAAATTCATTTTAAAATGATTTTATTTTGAGAAATAGTAAAAAATAGGCCAATATGAAAAGCTTAAGAAAGTATATAGGCGAATTTTTAGTTATAAAAATTAATAAGCCATAACTTGTCAAGTTATAGTTCATAACCAGATAAGTTATGGACAAACTTGTCAAGTTATGGTTCATAATCATAAGTTATGGACAATACCTTGTCAAGTTATGGTTCATAACCAGATAAGTTATGGGCAAAAACAGTAATTTGACCTATTTATTAACTTATGTAAACTATTGGCCTATTAATTTTAATTTATCTCAAGTCTTGGCCTATTTTCCTCTTTCTCCCTTTTATTTTTTGTATAAAAATATATATGAAAATATTTTCAATCTTAGACATCAAACTATTTTTGAAAATGCGTTTGATAATTTTATCAAGAGATTGTTTTTAGTATAAAAAAATCTATTAATGTCTCTCTTTGTGCTAGAGAGAGGAGAAAATGGAAACAAAAAATGAAAAACGACTAAAAGTCATTTTTTATTTCTCTTTCATTTTACACTAAACTAAAAAATCATTTTCATTTCTTTTTTTATCTTTAATTGTGTCCAAAACCGTTTCTCTCCCATTTTTATTTTTTTTTCTCGAAAAATGTAAAAAATAAAAACAAAACCAACTCCAAACATGACCAATGATTCCGATTTGAAACTTGTGCAAATGATAGTTAATTAGTGTCATTAATTTAATTATATACCGAGAATGTGTTAATAGTTAATGATGGCACACCAAAATTTTAATTATCCATGAAACACTGATAACATAACTAGATTATGGTAATTTCTTTTGTTATTAGAAACGGTGAATTTAATACTAAAATTTGGTTGTAGTAAACATAAAACGTGATGAGGTGCTAATGTGATTTGGTAACGTAATGAAAAAAATTAACGCGTGCTTAAATAATAATAGTAGAAATGAATTAATTACAAACATAGAATCCATAACGAAGATAATGAGATGCTAACGTGATTTGTTTACCATAATGAGGGTTAAAAGTTTTAATACGCAATTTACAAATAACAACACATAAGAACACCAAGCGAGATTACAGGTATTGAAACAATACTTGCTGGGTCAAAATAATGAACTTCTAATGTGATTTTGTTCATAGAATGGAAAAAATAAAAATAAAAAAGTGAATTAAAAATAATAATACAGAAAACATTTATAAAAAACATAGCACTAAACCAACGCGATTACGATAATGAAATGTGCTAATGTTGTCTATTATTATTTTCACACTTTGTGAAACAAAATAAAGCTAAAATGGATGCAAATGTAACAATCCAAATTATATTCCGTTGAACAATTTAATCATCAAAATTAAAAAAAAAAAAAGAAATAGTTGCACCACATTATACTTGTTATAGGCCTAAGTATTGTTATATATTCCATTATCTGTATGTTTGAGAAATCATTATTTGATGTTTGCTAATTATTACGAAATTTATTTACATTCATTCAATCCTTGTATTGCCACAATAACAATTAAATCATCATGCCATCTATGATACATATTATTAGTCGTTCACCTACCTTCTTAAGTCTTAATGTGGTATCATGAGACCAAAAATATACAAGAAGAAACCATCAGGCACCTGCATCAATAGAAGAGCCCGTTTGGTTGGAGGATTCGTTTTCTGATTCGAATCATGGTTCATGGTTCTCTACAGCATTTTCTCTCACAAAAAACATACGTAAATCGAAAATGATTCTAATCTCATGGTTTTGATCCATGAACCAAACAAGCTTGAAATTTCCCAGAATGCAATCTCCCACAACACTATTACGACTCACCACAACATTTTTTCGACTCACCATTAGAGTATTACGCTTCTCTTACTATGAGTTATGATGGATGGCGGATGTTGATGTTGTTTGTTTGGGTCCTACATGTGATACAAAATAAATTTTTGTACAAAACATCTTCCCTTCTCTCACATGTGGGACTCACGCCCCTCCCTCTCTATTTCTCTCCCTTTTCTCACTCTCTCTCTCTCTCTCTCTCTCTCTTCAGGAGGGGGACTCACCACCTTTCTTTCTCTTTTTCTCCCTCTCCCGTTTCTCTAGCAGAGAAAGCAGAAAAAAAGAAGAATAAAAAAGCAGCTTGGCCAATTGTTGGGAAAGAAACAGCGAAACGTTCCATCCGTTCCCAAAAAACAGGTTCTCTTTTATGGGAGGTAATAGATTTATAAAAAGAAAGAAAGTAATAAAAAAAAAGAAAAAAGTCGCGTGGCCAATAGTAAAAAAAGAAAAAGCGAAACGTTTCGTCTGCTCCCCAAATAAGTTCTCTTTATGGGAGGTAATAGATTTATAAAAGGAAAGAAAGTAATAGATTTATAGGCTTCTGATGACTTTGCTCCATTTAGATCGCATATGCATGCTTCTTTCAGAGCGTCATTGATATACCTCTAGAGCAAGTTCCCAAAAGTCTTCATTCAGTTTTCAGTCAATCTCCTTTTCAACTTCCGAAAGGTTCCAGATGGTTTTGCTCCATCGAGATTACTTATGCAGGTGTTCGTTAGAGCACGATGTACGAACCTCTAAAGCTGCCACCAAAATCCTACCAACTTCACCTATAAATACCCTCATCTTTCTCATTCTAGGTGACCATAGATAAATCTAAAACCTGAAAACTTTGAGCCCCCTTAATCCCCATCATCATCACCAACCACTACTTTCATCCTCTTTAGATCACTCTCTCTCTTCTTTCAAACTTCTCTAGTCTCTTGCTATAGAGACTTGAAGTTCTTCAAACCCTTCAAAGTTCTTCAAACCTTCCAAGTGTTGACTGTTGGGAATGATATCCTAAAAGCATGGGATGTAATAAAGGATATTATTATTTATATAATAAAAGAGAAATTTCATTATTTATATGTATGTATTATTGAATAATTTATGAATATCATTGAAAATTCCATGATTATTTATGCGACCTTAAGTATTATATATAAGTGTTATATGCGAGAGGATAATAATTAAAACGAGGCTTGTAATGAATTTAGTTAAAGTTCAGAATCTTTAATTAAAATATTACTAATACATGTCATTCTCATTTAGAATGAAACGGTGTTATCTGCACTGTTAATATGATGAGATATTGAATGAGTATATTACGCATAATGAGATTATATGGAATAAGGACACAGACACAATATGAATTTCTGATAATTTCCGTTAAGTATAGAAATTCTAATTGAGTCTACTGATGGTCATGTATAGAATGATCTTAATCCCAAGTTATTAATAGACTCCTATTTGTGGATTTATGTCTTTTAATTTACTCGGTACGGATTTCGAGATCCTGAATCTTATTCCTTGTAATTTTGAGACATGATGAAGTGAGTAGTCGAGAATGTTATTATACGAGATACAATCCATTCATTCTTGAGAAAGAAGTAGATACATAATTCCCTTAATAGTTGATTCGGTACTTGGACTAGTAGGAGTTCCGATTCATGAATTTGTTTTAAAATCACTGTCCATTAGAGAATCAATGGTACTCAAGGATAAAGATGTAATTAGAGAGGTTAACGGATTTCACCTAACTCTAATTATGAATAATTTATGAAGGATTGATCTATATGTAATGACTATATCAAATGGACACTTCACAGTTTAGAAGTAATTTATGTCTATAATTACGAGAGTGCAATTCTAAGTTTATAGTGGAGTAACTTTTAGAATTAATAGAATTAATTGGTTAATTAAAGAGTTTAATTATTTATTTATTTTAGTAGATCTTGGAATTATAGGTCCATGAGTCCCTGCATCGTCTTTGTAATCCTACAAGACATTAAGGGTAAAATGAGAATTTTAGAATTATGGAATTCTAAAATAAAACACTCAAGAATAATAATAAAATGAGAATTAATTATAAATTAAATAATGTGATTATTTAAATTTAAATTTGAATTTTGAAACACACATACGAATGTGTTCACATGGTGTGAACGCACAGCACAGTGTGAATCCCTCTAGGATCAGTTGCTTGCTCTCAAATTATCTATTTGACTTATTTTATAAGTAGTCCAATTTGAATTTCAAATTGAATTGAGTTTGACTTAAATTAAAATTTGAATTTGAGTCAAAATTAGACTGCAAGATAAATGCAGAATTTTACCCTATTCTTTACCTGCAGTATGCGCCTACCATAAGAACAAATCTCCCAGTGGTGGCCAGCTATATAGGATAAGGGAGAGAGTGGATTTTGTTTCAAAAATCAAATTAGAATGTGCCTACCACGTGAAGGAATCTTCCTGTAGTGGCCAGCTGTGTAGGATAAGGGAAAGATTAGATTTTGTTTTAAAAATTAAATTAGAAGTGATAGATAATTATCAAGCTTTATATTGGAGATAAAGATTAGACTTCTTTTAGGAGTCTGACTACTACTCTATAAATAAGAGACTGCAGAAATTATAGCACACAATTTTTGCTCTCTCCTCACTATAGTGGCCGAATTTTATAGAGTGTGGAAGGGAAAAATTTTCTCTCAAATTCCACGTCGTGCATGTCTTGGTGTTCGTGGAAAACTTGAGTGTTATTTTGCTAATATTATTTTGTTTCAGGTGTGCCCACACACACATCTTTGTAGATTTTATCGAGAGTTCTAAACTAGCTTCGAGTGAAGAACGTTTATGGTCAAAGAACTCAAGTTTTCGACCCAATTGTTCGTTTGGTAAACAAATTAATTTGATTAATTTATTCATGCATAAATTAATGTAATCTATAGAGTATTTTAAAGTTTTATGAAAATTTTTGTTATACACGATCCGCTAATTACATGCTTCCGCATCCGAAATCATTTCTAAAAGCAGCATAACTCTGTTAAGTTTTTTAACGGAAATGCTTATAAATGCCCTTTAAACTTTGTCACTTGTGTCAATATGTCCCTTAAACTTTAAAATGTACCTATTTTTCTCTTGAACTATGATATGTCTCCAACTTTTTCTCCTTCATCTTGATGCTATCCGTTTTTTGAACAGAAATATTGATCTGACCTTAAATTACTAATTATCTATGATATTTGAGGTTTACTGAATACACCCTCCTCTAAAAATGTTAGTTAAGCACCAATTCTCAAAATATTAGTTAATTAGGGGAAAAAAAGAAGAAAAAAAATGAGGAGTAAATCTATATAATGTAATGAATTTTGTTAGGTTTTTTTTAATATTTCACATAGATAGAAGTGCTCGATATAAAACATTGTTATGCTTTATATATATATATATAGTATTTCTAAATCAAAATACGTCAGGTCATTTATTTTATTATACCTTTTAAAAAAAATCAACACAAACTTAAGAAACTCATTAACTTAACAAACTTTAATGGTCAATATCATAGATAATTAGTAATTTAATGGTTATATCAACATTTTTATTAAAAAAAACTAATAGAATCAAGATAGTGGGAGAAAAGTTGGAGACATATAATAATTCTGATGGCAAAACAGGTACATTTTAAAATTCAGGAGGTATATTAACACAAGTGATAAAATTCAGAGGGCATTTATAAGCATTTCAGTTAAAAATTTTAATGAAATTAATTTTAAGAGGCATATTAACACAATTAATAAAATTTGGTAAACATGTTAATACAAGTGATAAAATTTTAAGAATTTATAAAAGCCTCATTCATTTTATCAATTCAAATTTTGTTCCAATAAAAAATTTTAAAAAATAATCACATTTAAAAATTTTCATATAGAGCCGCATTTTAACTTAAATTAAAAAATCTAATAGCGAACGGTGCAAAACTTATCATAAAATAAATGAAATAATGATAGGTGGACGACTTTTCTCTATAATTAACACATGTAGGGACACGATTAGCCAAGGCCACACGAGAGAAACAAAGCCCAGAGGCCCCAGACTCTCCATCCGTCGCTTTGTCGGTTTTCCACACACCCACGTGCAAAATATCACGTTGGCACGTGCCGATTTTCACCTCCATCGAAAGCAGTCTCTCACTCACTTCTCGGTCCTCAGGCAATTTTTCAGTTGACTTTTTATCATTTCTCGCGGCACCAACGGAGTTTTTGATCGGCGTCGCCGTGAGAAAGAAGAGAGAGAGAGCGAGAGAGAATCGAAGAAGAAGAAAATGAGTGAAGAAAACGACAAGAAACCAGCGATCGTTGTCGATCACCACCACCACCAGGAGCATAATCAGCCTCAGTACGGAACCTTCCAAGGCGTCGCCAATTATCCTCCGCCACGGCCGCCACATCACCAGCCGGCGATCGGATTCCCTCAGCCCGTGCCGCCGCCGGGAGTCGCCGAGCCCTCAGCTCATCATCCTGATTACTACGCTCGCGGATATCAAACTGTTCCTGGTATTATTACATTTTTTTTGTTATTTTTGTGAATTGACTGGATTCGTTTGTTATTTGGTTGATTTGTTGAGTGGATCATGGTTTTCGTGATTTTTTCAGGTGAATTGAAATTAAGATTTGAAATAAAGGAATTGGCGGAAATTGCTTTTGTTAAGATTAATGAATGAATAGGAAATTACTTGGATAAGAATTATTCTTTTGTTGGGATTGCACTAAGAGGAACAGCTTTTTGTTAAGAAATTAATATTAATTAGTCAATACGAAATTGCTAAAGAAAACTCTTTTTTTTTTTTTTTGGGATTGCGATTTGCAGCTGAGAAAAACTGCTAAATTAGGAAGTTTCTTTATTAGAGGCTAAGTATTCAGGATTGAGGTAATTGGATTTTTTTTAAAACAATAAAAAGAGTGTTTCTGAGCTATTAAATCCTTTGAGCCGGATGAAATGAAGCGCTTCACTCTCTCTCTCTCTCTCTCTCTTGTGGTAATTGGAATTGGCATATGAAGTTTGCGTTTGTTTCAGAAATTTATTTGTTTGTTTTTTGGTTGAGTGAAAAGTGAAATAAGGGAGATTTTCTTAAAATGGCGCTTATGAGATTCTCTACCATTGTTCTTACTTTTTTAAAACAAAAATAACGAAAAAGGGAAACTGAAAGTGATTCTCGTAGTATCGTAGCAAATACGGCCTTTGTCAGGATTAATTAGTGAATAGGAAAGTGCTAAATATGTAATTCTTTTGTGAACTAATGAATTAGGAACTTCAAGTTCTATTGTCATTGTTAATTGCAATTACGTTTCGATTTGTTATGGTAGTTCGGAGAACTGGTCAGTTGTATATCCTTACGTTGTCTAGTGGGTGCTCAGCTCCTTGTTCACTGATTTCTTCTCTCTCTCTAGAGTAAATGGGGTTCTTGTTTAAGGGTTGACTTGTTTGTGTACTATGTTGTTTCATTATTGGAAGTACTTTTAAAGTGAAAATTGGAAGTACTTTTGGGGGCTTCAAAATATTGCAAAATACAAATGAGAACATTGATCAGGGGTTGGTGCATGATGAGCAGGTCTTGAGAGACATCAAAATGAGAATTCTTCGTAAGTTGCACGTGCATAAACATCTCTTCATGTTTAGGACCCCATGCACATTGCTACTTCTCTTTTATTTCATCCCCAAAAGATGAGGAAACTGAAGAAGAAGATCCTTAGAATCGTCTATACAGTGTTTCCCTGTGTTGATGCTTATTCTTCTTCATGTTGTTTCAGATTACTTATCGCACCTTTATTTTATTTCTCTCTATGTGATGTTTAGGATCTGATTGTTAACAATGAATAATATGACCATGATGTTCCCTTACCATTTTAAAGCAGTATTGTTAATAATGAACATATTGTCGGTTTGTCATAATCAGGATGAACTTTTAGCGCAGGCAATTGAGTATTATATTCCCATATTGATTCTGGCATAGACAGAGCCACTAAGGCTCAAGTGGGGGCTTAAGCGCCCACTCAAGTTTTTTATTTTAAAAATTTTATATATATAAGCGTGTGCTATACTACATTTGTATACGGTTAGCCCCCACCAAATTAATCTTATAGCCCCGATCAAAGATATCACTTTCTCCAAAAAAACCCAATACAGATAAGAACTATAAACTCAATCTTCAATAACCTTGATAATGAAATTAATATACAATATTTTAAAGGCATGAAAATCTGTCAGGATAATTATAGTGCATTAATTGTTTTTTATTAAATTTTACTTTTATTATTAGCCCCTACAGACAAACATTTCTGGCTCCATCACTGGATTCTGGATCCCCCACCCCTCTTTATTGGGAAAATTTTGTATAAATGCTATGATGATTGCAATATGCATTATGTGATATCACTATTCCTTAAACCTCCGATATCCTGATTGTTAACAGGCTATGCAGTTGCTGAAGGAAGACCGGTGAGAGAGCGCCGTCTTCCTTGCTGTGGTATTGGCATTGGCTGGTTCCTGTAAGTTGCCTTATATACCCAAGTGTGATGTTTTGACGTTTGAGTAATTTTTACGGTTTAAGTTGTCATTTCTTTGGATAGTTTGGTTTATTGAGAAGAGAGGGGGCTTTCTCTCGTCATGTAGCCCATGAATAAGAAGAAATAACAAGATATAAGTTCGGTCAAAAACATATATAATACAAATTTAACCTTTTCATGCCCAACTGGCAGTGGATTTCAAATGAATTGTAAAATCTAAATACGCCGTGCTGTTGGGACTTTGAGAGTCAGGATCTCTATCTTCTTTTTTTAGCCTAGTGTTTGGATCTCTATCTTTCTGTTGTTTTTGTCCTGCATGTATTCTGCTACATGTTACTCTTCCCAGATGATAGTTTTATTTACTATTAATAAAGCTGCTGCTCTGTTGAAGGTTTATCATTGGATTCTTTCTTGCTGGTGTCCCCTGGTATGCTGGAGCTTTGATTTTACTCTGTTCAAGGATAGACTACCGGGAGAAACCAGGATACATTGCTTGCACAGTTGCGGTGAGTAATTTCTTTCTTCCTTTTACAGTTCTGTACTTGTGGAAGAATTTGCTCTGTATCTTCTGCTTGATAATTTTGCTTCCGATGTTTGTATATGGCCAAATACTTAGCCTTCATTTTCAATAAGAAACATTGAAGAAATTTTTATCAGAATGAAATGAAAGGAAGTAAAAATCTAGCTCAAGTAAAAGAAACAAAAAATCTTTAAAATCCCGACATGTAACAGCCCAAAAAGAAGTCAAATGTCGCTCCTTTTACAGATGCTAAATAGTTATGTTAGCAACTTACCCTCCAAACTTCTAATTTTTGACAATTTGCCCTCCAAACTTTCTAAATTGTTGCTATGTGTCCCATCTTGTTAACTTCTTATCGAATTGGGGATTTGAATTTGGAACATATGCATTTGGGTTTGAATTAGATTTAGAAATTTTAGTCGGACACGAGATTTTTTATCCTCACATGAAACGCAAGTGGGCTTTCAATTACCAATTTAACTGGAAGCTATGGAAATAGGGCACATTGTAACAATTTAAAAAGTTCAAGGGGTAAATTGCCAAGATTAGAAGTTTGGGGGGAAATTTCCAAAAGCCAAAAAGTATGGGGTGCAACAATGTTAAAACCCTCAAAAGAACAGCCAAAGTGGATTATAAAGTAGGTCACAATACATCTGCCATCTTGTGTAGAAAATCATGTTGCACAAAGAATTTAAATGAAAATAGGGCTCTTAGTGCATTTTTCCCCTGAACTTTTCAAAAGTAGTAAAATGGTGTCTAAAATTTTATTTCGGCAATTTAGGACACGAAGGTGGTCGTAAATTTTAGATTATAGTTTCATACGCATCAGACAATTCCGACACTTTTCTTTTTTGTTTTTGTTTTCTTGTTCAGGCTATTCTTGCTACAATTGCTATTGTTCTTGGTGTGACGAAGGGAGCTGATGACTGGTAGTCTATCAATGTAAGACTTTATAGCTTGTAAAGGGGATGCAATTACATATCTGCAGCTTCGTATTACTGTTTGTCTGTTTCTTCATTTAAATAATTCATTGTGTGAATTTACGGTAGCGATTGTTATTTTCTAAGACGGTTGATTATATCTGTAATCTCCAAACTGCAATAAACCATTATTCAGAAAATACTAGGAGTTGATCTCGTTGTATATGTATAATGCATGTGAAGTTTACGAGGAAAACGAGAACCTTACCATTGTTGTTGTTGTTGTTTTATTTTTTTGGTTGAAGGTTCCAAACCTAAGCACTTAGACATTTAAAGAGATCATAACCTTAGGCAGGATTTGCTGATCCTAAACCTTTTTTAAAGTTTTTTCTTTTTTGATCTCGTATACTTTGTTTTCATAGGCCTTGTTGTTCTTGTTTTATTTTTTATCTTTTATTTTTTTGGTTGAAGCTGGTTCCAAATTTAAGCACTTGGCGGCAACCTCAAAAACTCAAAAAAAAGACAACTCGAGTTCCAACTTTATTCAAGTTCATGTTCTTTTAAGTTTGAACTCGAGTTTGGGATTAAAACTCGAGTTCAAGTTTCTCCTTCAACTCAAGTCCAGAAACTCGAACTCAAATTAATGAACAGTAGTTTTTCTATTCTTAAAAATGCTATAACTTTTTCGTTTTAATCATGATTAAGATGATTTTTTTTCTATGCGTTGACAACGAAAAGATGAATAAAATCTCACCTATATACCTTATTAAAATTTTTCATCACCATTGAGTTTTTATTAAAATATTATCTAAATACAAATTTAAGTTTTAACTCACTTAAACACAAACTCAAAAAGATTCTCTCAATTCTTCTCTTAATCTCTCTCAAATCTCTCTTAATCTCGCTCAAATCTATCTCGATCTCTCTTAATCTCTTTCAAAGCCCTCTTGATCTCTCTTATTTTTCATAATGGATTCTTCGGTTGTGGTGGTGATATTCCCGTTGATGCCCAATTCAACATTGAAGAAGGGTAATTTTCTACTAATGTTTTTCAAACGTAGGAATCGCAAACACCAGAAAGAGTTGCTGAGTAAACTGCAAATCTGAGCCGTGGTGGATGTACTAGAGGTCGTGGATCTCGTGGTCGTAATGATGGTGGGCGTGGAGGAGAGGTAAGAAGAAGTGCTAGTGCAAGTGTTGCCAGTTTCAAGAAGAAATGCAAGCGCAGTTCAACAGTTTGGGAGCACTTCAACACATTCGAGTAGGTCGACAATAATGATAACATTAAATACATAGCTCAATGCAAATATTGTGGTGATAAATTATAAGGTAACACTATTCACGACACAACACACTTGAGAAGACACTCCGAAAAGTGTCTTCAAAAGTAAGGAGGCGGACCCGATCTCTGCCAAACACAATTATTATTTGACTGCCAAACCGACGGTCTAACCACTTAGAAATACGATTCGCAAGTCAATCGTATGAAAATGACACGATTAGTAGCCACATTAGATCAGCCACTTAGTTTTACCGAACAAAAGAATTGACAGCGTTATATTAAAATTGTACATAATCCTAATGCACAATTTTTTTCAAGAACTACTCTTAGGAAAGATGCATTAAAATTATATAAACAAGAAAGGGAAGCGTTAATCAACCTTTTACACTCTACTAGTGGTTGCATTGGGTTAACGATAGATATTTGGTCCGCCGTTGCCAACAAAGATTATTTAGCTGTAACCGGACATTATTTTAAAGGTTTTGATTTCGATAAGAGAATATTAGGTTTTAAATATGTTCTAGGATCATATACTGCTGATTTATTATATAATATAATTTTATCTGTCATTGATGAATATAGTTTAAGGAATAGAGTAATGGCTATAACATTAGATAATGCTATTGCAAATACTAAAACAATAGAACTTTTTAAAAAAGATTTAAGTTTATTCGGTAATAATGATATATTTCACCAAT